GGGCTAGGCCAGCCTCCAGCTGGGTGGCTGCTGGAACTGGAGTTTGGTCAGTGGTTGGGAACCTATATTGTGAGATAGTTAGGACTTTGTCCACAAACTGGAATTTGAAATTTCAAAGGGGCGAAAGCTGAAGGGCCCTACCCCAGAGTGGAGATGGTTCTGGCTTCTTTCCCCCACGACTTTTGTTCTTTGTCTTGATAAGTTCTGGTTGTCCCTGCACTGCTTCCTGGGTGTGGTGGGGTGGGGGTGGGGGGCAGGTGATCATGAAATGGTGAACCCCAAGGAGAAGTGGAGATGCTAGATGGCTTCTGGGTGGGTGGCCCAGTGTCTGGAGAACGACTCTGAGCTTATAGTGTGCCTAGGGACAAGGGTCCTTTTCTTCTTGGGTTTCCAGTAGTAGAATGAAGTGCCTCCAAAGACAAGCCTAGCAATTGCTTCTGAAAGATCGCAGCTATGAAGCATAATCCTACTCTGCACCCATGAGTCAGGAGCAACTTGATGGCAACTAACAACAATAAAATGAGGATGACGATGGTCCCCATCTCACGGGACACATGAGATGAGAGAAGCGGAAGTTTCTTAGCAGCAGGCCTAGCACAGAATCCTCCCGCTGTAAACATCAGCCACAGTTACCATTTAAAAGGAAAATGATGTGGTTCCTCCATGCAGCTTCCTTAACCACTGTCCACCCTAGAGACTTGAACCCCTGCTTCCAGCTGGCTCTGCGGCAACCCCTCCCCGACTTCCGGCTGCTAGCAAAATAATCTCTTCTTCCTTCTAGAGACTTCTGTTTCTCCAGCTGTAACATGAAAGAGCTGACCCTCAATGTGAGCTCTCTTGTCCTCTGGGAATAGTTGCCCCTTAAGCTTAGGTCTGACAACCCAAGAAGAAGAGCAGAGATAAAGAAAAGCCCTGAACAGATGCCAAGTTGACGGTTGTTCACTCATGACTGAGTAGGCCGTACCCAGGAGGGAGCACTTCTGAGCAGGAGTCCTGGTTCTGCCAAACTGTGTGGCCAGTGAGTCAGAGTCTGCAACCAAGGACAGTAATCACAACTGCTATCTGGACACCTCACTTAGTGATTCAGGGCACATGCCATTCCTACAATGCAGGCACCACCAAAACTAAGGCTCTCTTAAGAGAGCCTGAGGCCACGGAGCTTGGGAAGTTGGTAGCTGCCTGGATTTTGACACAGGTCTGCCTAAATTCAAGGTCTGTGCTTTATGCCCCTAAGAAATAAAAGAGGGGAAGATGGCACAGGACCAGAAAGTGTTTCATTGTACGTAGGGTTGCTATGAGTCTGGACCGACTCAGTAGTATCTATTAGCAACAACAAGGGCCTGTGGGGTCCCTGGGTGGTGCAAACAGTTAAGCACTCAGCTTCGAGCTGAAAAGTTGGCTGTTTGAAGACACTTGGCAGATAGGCCTAACATTCTGCTTCTGAAAAGGTTTTCAAACTGCTTTGAAAACCCAATGAAGCAGTTCTACTCTGACACACTTGAGGTTGTTATATGTTATGAGTTGGAATTAACTCAACAACAAACACGCAATAAGAAGAAACTTATAGGAGTTCCTGAGTGGTACAAATGGTTAACATGCTTGGATGCTAACCGAAAGGTTGAAGATTGAAATCCACCTACAGGAACCTTGGAAGAAAGACTTGGTGATCTACCTCTGAAAAATAGGCCACTAAAAAGCTCGATGGAGTTTTTTACAGTTCTACTCTGACCCACATGGGGTTCCCATGAGCTGATATCAACTCAACATTTTTAATTTTTATTTTTAAAAAGAACCTTATAGTATCATCTTGTTTTTTTACAACAAACTTGCCTGAGGACACCAAGTCTATAGATCTTGTGTTTGGTGAGTCATGTGAGATACAGGTATCTAGATGGTATTATTTGGGGTCAGCTAAGGATGGAGTCCTGTGAGGCACTGTAGGGTAAGCACTGAACTGCTAACCAAAAGATTACCGGTTCGAACCCACCAGCCACTCTTTGGAAACCCTATACAGGGTCACTATGAGTCAGAATGACTTGACAGCATTTAGCAACAACAAAGGATAGTAATAGATTGTGCTTCTTACAGTTGATGAGGAGATAGATTTACTCATGAGGTAGGTTGTCATGTGGTGGAGTGTGGATGGGGTGAGCTGGGTAAGAAATTGGCTTCTGGAATGCATCTCACATGCAGTAGGTCATGCGTACTATGTTTGGTAAATCAAGCATTTTGTAGTTCGGACGTAGTGGTTTATTGGATGCAGGCTGTTTACCCATAGTTCTAGACTTGTAGGAGGCATGGCAGTGTTGACCCTAGTTGATTATGTTATTGCTTTTGTTGCCTTCGAGTTGGGTCTGACTCATGACAAGCTTATGTGTAACAGCACCGAACACTCCCCTGTCCTGTGCCAGCCTCACAATTGTTGGACTGTTTGAACCCATTGTTCCAATCCATCTCACAGTTTCCACTGACCCTCTACTTTACCAAGCACCATCTCCAAGGGAATCTAAGATCCATGGTTATTTTGTATACCAGATAAACCCTTGCATGCTGATGGTCACAACCTGCTTTCAGGAATGTGAAGTAAGAAGCATGGAGTCGCTGAGTTCATAGACTATGCACTGTGGATAATGTGGGGACTAGCTGTGTGTGTTGCCCGCCTGTAGGTGCCAGACAGGTGGCAGGGACCTGGGGCCTGCCCTTGGGGCTCCTCCCCAACTGTCTCCCTCCCCCCTGTGTTTATCCCTTAAGTGTTTGACTTTCCTTCCCGCCCAGCTCAGCACTGCCCCCAAGGTGGCTGCAGCTGGGATTAGGTGGCCCCAGGGCGGAGCGCAAAGGAGCCTACTGGTATTTGAAGTCTTCTCCTCAGACTCCTATCTAATCTCAAAGTGTGAGTGAAGGGGTTTTAATCTTCTTCCCTCCATGGGGTTCTTGTCTTGACAAATATCTAGGTCAGGATCGACTAGATGGGGAAATTGAGGCCTGGAGAAGAGATGTGATATAAACTGAGTTCATAAAGTCAACAATCGTGTTCCTAAACCAGGTCTCTCTGGGCTCCAAACCCAGCCTCTGTCTCCAGAACAATTGCTCCCCTACTCACCCCCTAAGATACAGGCTGCCCTGCTTATCTCAGCTTTGATGAAGAGACTGGGGGGTGGGGGGAGAGTGAAGTAGGGGGTGAGAAAAGGCTTCCAGAAGAGTATGGAGAGATTGGCACCTCCTCATACAAGCACACACACACACAGATTTGCCCAGGCCTTACTTCACTCATTAATTTGCTTTTCACTAATTCACCTCTTGCTCGTAGAAGTCTTTCCAACCTACCTACTCACTCACTCATTAATTCTCTCACTCATCCACCCACTCATTCACTCACATCACTGCTCGTCCATGAATTGGTCCACTTTTGCTCATGTTGTTGTTGTTAGGTGCCATCGAGTTGGTACTGACCCATAGCGACTTTTGCTAATAGGTGTTATCAAATCTGTCCAACCTGCCCACTCAATCACTCATTAATTCATTCTCACTAATTCACTCATTCATTAATTCACCCATACATGCACTCATTCACTCATTAGTTCATTCACCCACTCACTCATTTGCCCACTCATTAATTCACCCACCTTCTCATTCATTTATCTACTTGCTCATTAATTTGCTCACTCTTGCTCATGGTTGTTCCCAAGTGCCTCTGACCTGCCCTTCTGATCTGCAGAGAAGAACAGGCTCTGGGGCCTACAAAGTCCTACCAATGACTTCCCTCTCTAGCTTCTACATGGAGACTCCCCCTCTCTCACCAGCTAGACAGGGAGACCTGCAAAGAGTCTTCACAGAAGAGTGTCATAGGAAAAGACGTGAACCAAAGGAAGGCAGACCCAGAGACTTCGTTGACAGGGTCCAGTCCAAAACAAAGCTACAGGGTCCCCGGTTCAAACATCACAAAGCATTTCAAGATGGTACCAGTGGAGTATTAAGCATGTGAGGGACCTTTGGAGTAGAGGTTCTAGTTCCTGCCCAGGTAGTATGCCCAGCTCTGCAGTCAAGAGATGGTGCAAGGAACAAAGGAGCTGGGTACAACTTGGTGTTTTGCTCACCCTACCTCACTGAGTAGTACTTAACCCACCCTCGGAGGGTGCACATTTTTAGAGGAGGAAACTGAGGCTCCAAGAAGCAAATAATTTACTGGAGGCCACAGGTGGTAGGTGCCTGAATGCAAATCCAGGTCTTTGGGGCCCATAAGCCCTGGGTGGGGGTGGGGTGGGAGTGGGAGCAGAGGTGAGGGAAATGGGAGGTTAGAACAGAATAAAGGGTGGTGGTGCTTATCCCCAAAGCAGTGCCGGTCCTGGGAGCTGTGGGGGCTTCAAGGGGCCTTGGTAGGGTCTTGGAGAGCAGGAGAGAGCAACCGGGAATAGAATTTGGCCTTCCCAGACCTCGAGTCCATTCTGGTCCCTCTGGGAAGGACAGAGAAGAAATGGGAAGTGGGTCCCAGAAGAGGTGTCTGGAGTCTGGGATTCAGGTTTCGAATCCATGAACTACGAGTATCTGCAGGAGCATGAGGGGAAATGTCTGTGTTGGGGACGTTATGGATTAGGGTGTCTTGGACTATAAGTGGTTATTAGTCTGAGCATAGCAGTTAGAAATCAGACTTGGAGTGAAGATGACTTGGCCTGGCGAAGTTATAGATCTAGTGAGAGTACCCGTAAGCTATTGTGCCTGTCTTAAAGACTCCATAACTGAATCTTGGTGAGTTGGGGCCCCAACATTGTAATTAGCACCCCGAGTGCCAGTCAGAAACCAACAAACAGCCAAATCCCAGCGGCCCCGCCCAGCCTATCCACCAGTGGGGGACTAGATTAACCATTAACCCCCACCCCTCCCCGGCAGAGCCTCCACCCCTGTGCTGAGCCTAGGTCACCCTCCAGGTAGATCCTCGCAGAGGACGGTTTGAGACACAGGAAGGAGAGAGGGTGCCTGGAAGGAGACAGTGCACGGCAGGGGCCGAGGCTCTGCCCAGAGCCTTCAGGGTGGGCATCCTGGGCTGGACAGGTGACTGAAGTGTGGCAGCAAGGGAGAATGCGCCTCTCTAAAACCCTCGGTGACATGGACATGGCTGACTACAGTGCTGCGTTGGACCCGGCCTACACCACCCTGGAGTTTGAGAATGTGCAGGTGCTGACGATGGGCAATGGTAGGTGAGGACAGGTGTGCCAGTTGTGCCCAGATACGGAGTGGGTCTTTGGCAATCTGGATTGGGAGGGGAGTGATGGAAAATAGTAAGTTGGTCCTATAGAGCTAGCACAGGTGTTGCCAGATGAGGCAAATGTGCCCAGGTACGGAGACCAGAGGCATTCTGGGTAAGGGTAGGCCTGCAGAGGCAAATTCACAGGTATTCCTGGAAAGCCCTTCCAGTCTCCATGACCTCAGAGCTGGTCCTGCTTGGCATGTCACTGGGAAGGGAAACATGGTCCGCTTCCTCTTGACATGCAACCCCAGTAATTCCACCCGGCACTGTCCCTTCGGAACCCCTTGGGCCTAGGCCCAGATATATGGAAAGGTGTATCCTGTCCCTGGACATGGTAGGTGGAGCCACCCACTGCAAGTCAGGGTGTCTTTGAAGCTTTTTTAGAGGTGGATCCCCCCCTTAGAGAAACGAAGTTTTCAAGGGACGTTTGGCTAGCTAAGAGCCTGTGTTGTGTATGCTTTCCTGTGTGTGGTGTGGCCCTCGTCCTGGTGCACACATATGAGTTTCTGTAGAAGTGTGTGGATGGGGTCAGTGTGCTGTGTAGGCACGTGCGTGTGTGTGGGTATACCAGTGTCTGTGGGGAGCCAATTACGTATTTGTGTTCATGTGTCTGTTACCTGTGGACATTTCCATGAGTATCTTGTTCATTGTGTTGGTCTGTGTCTGTGTGTTTGTGTGTGTCTGTGTGTTTGTGTGTGTCTGTGTGTTTGTGTGTGTCTGTGTGTTTGTGTGTGTCTGTGTGTTGGTCTGTGTCTGTGTGTTTGTGTGTGTCTGTGTGTTTGTGTGTGTGTCCCTGTGTCTGTGGCTGTTGGTACACATGTGCTGTCTATGTGGGTCCATGCCTGCTTTCACATGTAGATGTGGATATTATGTCCTTGTGATTTCCATACGTATGTCCTATATGGGCATTCTGCTCTGTGCTCCTGCGTGTACCTGTTTCAGGTGCTACGTGGATACCTTGTGTACTAGGGACCAACTGCTGTGTGTGATTTTATCTTTGCCATTCACCAATACGAGATTCCCATCGGCAACATGGCTGCTTGTCTCTGAGCAGATTTGTGTGGCTCATGTGTTGCTGGAAAGATTCTGCATCCTCTCCAACATCACTGGGGTGGAGTGTGGGGTGGGGACTGTGTTCCTCCACAAGGCAGTCTGGAAGTCAGGAAGCTCTCTGGCTGGGAAGAGTCCTAAATGGTCACAGGCCAGCCTTAGAGGAGAGGTGGCAGCTGGCTGAACTACTTAGCCTGCCACTTGCCTCCTTTCTACAGCTTGGAGCTACACAGCTGGAGCCCAGCTGTGGTTTCAGGTGAGGTGGTACCGCTGTGGTCAGTCTCACTAAGGTAATTGCCCATCCCTGGCATCCACTCACTGTGTGACCTTGGGCACACCACTTGCTGTCTCCTAGCTTCAGTGTAGTCTACAAAATGGGAGGAATCACGCAAGCCTGCTGGCCAGTGACTTTAGGGACTGTCCAGGGCTCACACACTGAAAAAGGTAAACAAGGAGGTTGCTGGGGGGTGTTGTGTGATCCAACAGGGACAGTGTGTGCTGTCATAGTCTTGGCCACTGCCCAGCCTCGAGCTGCTCCCTGGTCCTGGTCATCACCCTTTCAAAGCCTGTATTCCCAGATCCCAGGAACTATGTGTTTCTAAGACAGAGGTTAAGTCTGGCCCCAAACAGGACAGCCTCTGGCTCTGGAGCCAGAAAGACCTGGGCCAAACTCTGACATAGATTCTTCCTACCTGTGGGAACTTGGCAAGCCACATTGCCACTCTGAGCCTCACTTTCCTCATCTGTAAAATGGTGATAAGTAAGTGTACCTTCCAGGGCTGACCAGTGAGGTACCTGAGTTCTTTGCACTGGTAGTTGGAACTGGCCTCCACATCAGTGGTCTCAAGACTCGAAGTTTCTGTAAGAAGCGTCTGCATTCCCAGAGTCTGGGGGGTGGCCTGAGAATTGGGGTTATGTGAGGTTCTGAGGATAACCCTCACTCCCTTTTGTCCTCCATTTAGAAGCAGCCGTACCAGGGGATCCTTACTTATCACAGATTCTAAAGACACTTCACATGTGAGCACTGGCCAGAGAGGGATCCAGCACACCTGAGCTAGGCCCAGCTCTTCTATTTAGCAACAGTGGGGTGATCCTGGGCAGGTCACCTGTCCCCTCCAAGCCTTGTTGTTGCCCCTGAAGAATGGGGCCTTCCCTGCACCCTCTGGCCAAATGACCGGGAGTATCGGCTTGCCCTGGGAATGGGGAGGGGGTGTGGTGGGTCAGCTTATTCTGGGTAGTGACAGATTAACCAGTAAACAAGGTAAGCATGGGCTTACTTGCATTTACTTACTTATCTGTGGTGAAAATTTTCTCATTTTGTCACCACCTTAAAGATTCTGCTTCTAGGGCTAGTGGTGTCTATCTCTCTCCCAACCCCAAAGCGCCTTCCTACAGAATCAAAGCCTCTTCTTGAATTTTCAATTCCTGACAGGAGTAGATTATCCAATAAGCAAGGTAAGCAGGAGTTTACTTGTACTCCATACTAATCTTAGTGAACAATTCCACATACTTTCACCACAGTATGTAAACACAAGTAAGCCTGGGCTTACTTGGCTTTTTGGGTACTCTGCTCGTGGCCCTGGGGGTTGGGGGTGGATGTTGTGGAGTCAGCTCTCCCGGGGGTCTGGGAGGTGAGGTGGAGGGAGAAAGGGCACCAGTGTGGTTTAACCATTACCCCCATCTCAGGGGATAATTCACCAAGTGGAGAGGTCCACACTCCTGGGCACACGTGGAGTCTCGGGAGATGTTCAGCGGGGCAGTGGCCAAAGTGAGGGCAATGGTGTGTGTTTGCTGGGAGTTGTAAACTCTGAGAGGTTTCTTTTGCAGAAATGTTTTTATTTCACAAATACTGATAGATAGATAGATAGATAGATAGATAGATAGATAGATAGATAGATAGATAGATAGATAGATAATGATTCATTGAATCCTAACAGCTCTAACAGAACTGTCTTTCTCCCCATTAACAAAGGAGGGAACAAAGATTTGGAGATGTGAACTAACTCAGCCAAAGTCAGTCAGCTAAGGTGTGGGGAAGCTGGGATTCGAAGCTGGACGTGAGACTGCAGAGTTTGGGTTCTTAATTCTATAATCTGTGCCTCTCTCCACTTCTTCACTGGATATCCCCTTAGGAGTCCAGGGCTAAGTTCAGGGGCCCTGTGGAAATGTGTGTGTGTATGTGACTATGTGGTGTGCTTGCATGCATTTTTTTCTGGGGAGATAGTCTATAACCATTTCATTATGTTTCTTGTTAAGTGCCGTCAAGTCTTGCTTATTAAAAAAAAAAAAAAAAGTTGTCAGATGCTGAAATAAAAAAGAAAGAAAGTACACAAACAGACAAGTCAAACTGCCCCAGTAAGGAAACTGAGGCACAGGGGAAAGTGAGTTGAGGAAAAGCCAAGACTTGCCCAAGGCCACAGGCAAGTTAGTAGCAGCATCAGAGTGGTACCCAGGACTCCTGGAACCTAAGTCAAGGTCTTCACCATCCTGCCTCTTATCCTCCATCCTCACATTTCTACAGACCCCAGTACCTTTTCTTTTGCCTCCCAGACAGGAAGTATTTGAGAGGTGCCCCAATCCTTATCATGATTCTCCCAGGAGGGTAAATAAGTGAACGTTCCCAGTGCATGTCTGTCCTTCTCCCAGGTAGAGTCCTGGCCTCTAAGCTGAGCCCCATATAGACCTGGTCACTCATAGAGAAATGCAGGGTAGGACCTAGCTTTGGGAGAAGCTGGGGGTTATTTGTCCTTTCCACAGTTGTCCCTCATTGAAGGGGGAGTCTACCAGAGTGGTATGCTCTCTAGAGGTGGCCAGATTTGCATTCCTTCCCAGAGAAAGGCCCAAGTAGTGACCTTCACCATGGGGAAAAGCAGCTGTTCACAAACAACTCAGTGAAACCCATGTCACAGCCACCCCCAACTTACAGATGTGAAATGGCAACTCCAAAGGGCCCAGTGCTTTTGCCCAAGGTCGTGGATGTTGAAGTAGGATTAGAACCAGGTCTGGCTAAAGCCCGGGAATGATCTCTATCAAGGCCATATTTGCACCCACCAACAAGAGGGGTCTCTCTGCCCCTCCTGAGTCCATGCCCCATCTCTTCTGACATAGACACATCCCCATCAGAAAGTGCCAACCTCAACACAACCAACAGCCTGGGTGTGAGCGCCCTGTGTGCCATCTGTGGGGACCGAGCCACCGGGAAACACTATGGGGCCTCGAGCTGTGATGGCTGCAAAGGTTTCTTCCGGAGGAGCGTAAGGAAAAACCACATGTACTCCTGCAGGTGAGGAGCCTCCCCGCTCAGGGCCTTAGTATCTCCAACTGGGAAATGGGTCTGTCTTCTTTATGATTGGGTCCCAGAGGCATGTGTCCTTCAAGGCTCTCCTGGTTTCTTAGGCCTTGGGGAAACAGATGAGAACATCTAGCCTAGGAATCCCATCAACTGGTTGTAACGTTATTTGCTGCCTTTTATTGAGCTCTTGCTATATGGCAGGTGACATACTAAGTCTTTGCAAGCATTGCCATATGGAACCAGCCCAGAAATCCCATTGTTATTATTTCAGTAAATGAGGTTTAAGGCCTACCCTCCTCTGAAGCCTCAGAGAATGGGGTTATTCTCCAACCTGGTGCTTTTCTGGGACAAATGGGGGATTGACTGTAGGCCTTTCCACCTATGGCCTTTCCAATGGCCATAGAAACCTATGGTCAGGCCTCCTTCAAAAGATCTCATTGATGAGGTATTCTGTAAACCTTCAATCAATTCACAATTAAAGTTAAAAAAAAGAAGAAAAGAAACCAACCAGATTTCCCATTCTGGGTCACAGCAATAATAAAACACTAACAGCTATCAGTTCTGAGCACTTTGCCAAGCTCCTGATGGACATTATCTCACTTTTACCTGCCAACACCTCTCTGAGGTAGTTACTAATGTTATGCCCATTTTATAGATAAAGGAAGCTGTGGCTTGGAAAGGGCTAGGCATTTTCCCAAGGTCACCAAGGGTGGAGACAGGGTTGACACTCAGGGCCCCACCCCTGCCACCCTGCTGAACTACACCTTCCTCATCTTCCCCTGCAGAGAGCGATTCTGCAACCAGCTCACCATGGATCCTGGGCCTTTAGATGTGTGATGGGAATTTCAATGTGCTGGGACTCAAAGGGATAGGGTTCAGCTCAGCTCAGCCACTGAGTGACCTGGGGCTGTTTTGTTGCCTCTCAGGCTAGAGATGGACTTTAAAAGAGTCCTCAGGGCCTTTTCAACTTCTGGTTGGTTAGCATGGGGGTCAACCAGATGGTCAGGATCCTAGTTCCTTTCTGGGTGGGGGAAGGGTGTCCCTTCTTGACCCAAACATCCAAAGCCCTCCCCAGGTTTAGCCGACAGTGCGTGGTGGACAAAGACAAGAGGAACCAATGCCGCTACTGCAGGCTCAAGAAGTGTTTCCGGGCTGGCATGAAGAAGGAAGGTGAGCCTGGCCCTCCCCTGCCACCCCACTGCTCACCCACACCCAGAGCTCCTCAGAGTCATTTACAAACTTTATGACTAGATGACAGCCCCCAGGGTGACTGGCTCTTAAGAGAAAGGACTTGCTAATGGCTGAGAGGAGGGAGGACCAGGAAATCTAGCCTTAGGGAGGGGCTGGACTGGGCTTGGCATTGAGAAAGATTCAAAGAGATAAGCTCCCACTCTCAGCTATTCCATTTCCGGCAGCAACTGCCACCCCTATCTACTACCTTCACTACCACAGGACAGCCTCTCTCAGTACAATACTTCAAATTTCAGGAAATGGTCTTACAAACACCCACCACCCTGACATAATCGATGTGACCAGCTGAGAGCTCTATTTCTGAACTTCCTGTCCCAGGGGCAGGCACCCCAATTCTTCTCGTCCTCATCCATGCCCCAGGGCTCTCTAAAATTTCTATATTCTAGAAAATGGAAACAAATTTCTAGGCTTGCCCTGGGTGAAGGAGGATGGGAAGATGGAAGATGATGTTAAAGTCTTGCTAGACATCAGCTGCCAGCAGCTACCAAGCACTTTTTCTCCCATTTGATAACTTTTTTTTCTTTCTCATGATGATCGTGTGAGGTTGACACTAGTATTATTCCCCCTGTTTTTAATAATTGAGGAATAGAAGGTCCAGACTGGCTAAGCAACTTGCCTAAGGTCCCACAGCTGATCAATGGAAGACCTGAGGTTTGAACCCCAAAAGCTTGAGACTCAAGTTCAGTGCTGTTTGGACAACACTTCAGTTGTACCTGCTCATGCCCTCCAGACCTCAGAAATATTTAAACATTTTTTCAGCTCAAGTTCATGAGGCAGATCTCTTTCAACTGCTGCTCAAAGGAATCTGAGTTCATTTTCTAATCTCTTTGTTTCTTTTTTCCCTGAATCTCATCTCTCTCAGCTCAGGGACTGACTCCAGACCTTCACTCTAGTCTAGGGCTATGCCATGGAGCCAAACCCAGAGTCTAGCCTGTACAGACACACCCACCCCACCCACCTCAGGAACAGGAACTTGGGACCCAGCCTGCCTCAGGCCTGCTGAGGTGGGGAGGCCTGGCTTGGACAGCTTCCACCTCTCCTCACTGCCTCTGAACCCACTTACTCTTCCTCTAACCTCAGAAGTAACTTCTGTGTACCATCTGTACAGGGCGCTAGTCTGAACAAATGAGCCCTGTTGGAAGATCTGGGCCTCCTAACCCAGATGAAGGAGTAGATAGTCTCCAAGGCCTCCTGTTGCTCCAAACACCACAGTTCTAACAGCCAGACCCCCATGATTTCATTGTGGGAGAGGGGCCTTTTTAAACTACCAACTTCTGTCTCCTCCGCCCTGCCCAAGTTTCAGTGGAGTTGATCCTCACTGGCCCACTCTCTCCTCCAAGATGAAAGTCACTTTGTAGAAGGAGAAACATTATGAATGGGGATGTGATGCACTTATGAAGAACTGGAGACAAAAAAAAGAGATGGAGAATGACAGTCTAAGGGCCTCAGAGTCTATTATTCTGTTATCCCAATAGCCTGACTTTAGAATTATGTGATTGTCCAAAGGTTATTAAGGCTTGTGTTCAAGAGAATGAATCTTTCATGTTGATACTTTAGGCCTTGAGACAGGCAGGTAAGAAGAGGAGTTGGCAGTCAACCTAAGTAGATGGCTCCTTACCTAGGCTGGATACAGGTGGTCAGTCTTTCTATATATCTCTTGTTAAACATTCAGAATATTTTCACATGTGTAACTTCAGGGAGGTTCCTGCCCCTCCAGGCTCCAGTTCTCCCATCTATAAGATGAGGGGCTGGATTGATGTCTCCAGCTCTGTGGGTCTAACTACACACTACTGGTAACACCAGGAATGTATTCTTGTTCCCTGATCCTCTCACTGAGCAGATTCCATGTCCCACCTCTTAGAAAGAGTTGGAACCCCAGTTCATTCATTTTTAGTTTGGCCTTGAAAATAGCAGTTTGCTTCGGGGAACTGACATCATACCAGGAAGACAGGAAGGTTGGCTGATAGCAAGTGAGTTACTGGGCTAGTAATCACTGGTTCTTATTTACATGTTTGAGCAAACCTGACTTGACACATGCAATCTCTTGGTTGCTTTGAGAATGCCACCATGGTTAAGCTCTGGGGAGTAAGGTTATTTATTATCATTTCTACCTATGTCTTAAGGAGCTCTGGTAGCGTAGTGGTTACGAATCGGGCTGCTAGCCTCAGGGTCAGCAGTTCGAAACTACCAGCTGTTCCGTGGGAGAAAGATGAGGCTTTCTGCTCCCGTAAAGATTTACAGCCTCGGAAAT